ATTTTGAACATATTTGCTACTTGTGACCTTGAATATGATTCAAGGTCATACATTTAAACAAACTTGGAAGCCCTTGATCCGAGTATGCTACTGACAAAATATCATCACCCTGGGCATTATGGTTATTCAGAAGAAGTTGTTTAAAGTTTTTAACATGTTTGATCCCTGTGACCTTGAATATGGGTGAAGGTCATGCATTTGAACAACTTTGTAGCCCTTCATCCCAGCATGTTATTGGCCAAATATCATCACCCTATGCCTCTTGGTTATTCAGAAGTTGTTTAAAGAATTTAACATATTTGACCCCTGTGACCTTGAAAATGGATGAAGGTCATTCATTTGAACAAACTTGATAGCCCTTAACCCTAGCATGCTACTGGCCAAATATCATCACCCCTTGCATTTTGGTTATTCAGAAAAAGTTGTTTAATGTTTTTAAAATATTTGACCCCTGTGACCTTGAAAATGGATGAAGGTCATTCNTAAGCATTTGAACAAACTTTGTAGCCTTTCATCTGAGCATGCTACTGGCCAAATATCATCACACTGGGCATTTTGGTTATTGAGAAGAAGTTGTTTAAAGGTTTTTTAAGACAATTGACCCCTGTGACCTTAAATATAATTGAAGCTCATTCATTTGAACAAACTTGGTAGCCCTTCACCCAAGCATGCTACTGGCCAAATATCATCTCCCTGGGCAGTTTGGTTATCAAGAAGAAGATGTTTTAAGTTTTTAACATATTTGATCCCTGTGACCTTAAAAATAGGTGAAGGTCATTAATTTTAACAAACTTTGTAGCCCTTCATCCCAGTTTGCTTCTGGCAAAATATCGACACCCTAGGCCTTTGGTAATTAAGAAGAAGTGGTTTAAAGTAAAATATTGACGCCGGACGCCGGACGCCGGACGCCGGACAACGCGCTACGGCATAAGCTCACTTGGCACTTCATGCCAGGTGAACTAAAAACTAACAAATAACCACAGAGACAAAAATTTAAATAACACAAACTTTTATTCTAAAGGCTACGTATGGACACGTTTCATGCACAACAGTTTTATTGCACAAGCCTAAGTTTGTCTGATGCTCTTATTCAACATACACAAACTATCAACGTGACAATATACATTATCCCTGACGATCATCTTTGAAATTCCAGGGTTTACGCTCTCTTACATTTTTTACACTCCTGGAATAGGTCATGACAAAATTGAAGGCTCTTTATATGCCAACTTGTGGATGATACAAATAGATTAGTTTGATCCTTTGATGATTCAAAAGAATCGCACAGCAGTGTGACGGTAAAGTTGACCACCTTTAGAGTTTGGTGTCACTTCTCTGTACTCTTCAAAGGACAGGTATCAGCCTAGTGATAGGTAAGGTGGGTTTTTTTTGTGGTTTGTTTTTTAAGAAACTAATCAAAAAGCTAACCATATGACTTCGATTTTGTCAAGACATATTTCATGGGTGCACAAAACATAAGTGAGTATATATATATAGCCCCTAGAATTTCGAGGATGATCTCTGATTCTCCTTAATGCCTACTGAAGCATTTTAAAGGTATCTGGTTTTCTGTGTCAGCCTTGAAAAAAGGACACAACACAAACAACAGGTGCAGTAAATATACTAACAGTGACAGTTGGATTGCTTTTTAAATATTGTAAAAGTGACTGAATAAAATGTTATAGGGTAGAAATATTATTCCTGATACATAAACCAAGGCCCGTATTCATGAAACCCATGAAACCATTCTCGTGCTCAAGGATGGATTTTGTGCTCAAGCCTAATTTCTTGTTCTGGTTATAAGTTAATAAACAAATATTATTTTGTCAATAATTTTGAAAACAAGAGGCCCAAGAGGGCCTGTATCGCTCACCTGANAAGGAGACTTAAAGCCAAATACTGTTTTCAATGTTTTACATTTGACTTTTTGATCGTTTGACATGATTTAAGTGTGTTAAAAGAAAGTTAGTTTGAGCACAGAATCCATGCTTGAGCATGAGAACGGTTTCATGAATACAGGCCCAGGACAGAAAATATTTAACATATTAAAAAATTAAATATTGTAAAACATACAAAAATATTCTAATTCTAACTGATTATCTAAAGTTGTAACATGATTATCGCACATTAAAGTGAATAAAAATAGAATTTAAATATTTGAAACTTCATTACAATAAATATTCAATTTCTTCAAATACATATATCACAGTAAATTTTCTATCACATATCATTTCACAATATTGTCATATAGAACAAAACAGATAAGTATATCACCTTATTCACAGAGTTTCGCTAATAAAGAAAACTTTTAATGTCAACTTTAACCGTGTTCTGTGTGCCATGTAATGATACCCATTAATTACATGGTGGCGATGCCAGCCATTTTCGTCCCTGAATCCATTCACCGTTGGCGACAATGTTGTAAAATAAATTCTCAAATCATGAATAACAATTGATTACTTGTATTCAATAAATATATAAAAGTTAAACAAGAGGCCAATAGGGCCAATATCACCAACCTGAATAAATAAGCCATCATGGCAAAATAAATTCATTAAAAGTAGTTATTTGCTAATAGCTAGATCCCAGGGATAAGGACAGTCCAAGGGAACACTGGTAGCATATTTGTATCCAAATCTCTACAGAACAGCCATTTCAATTTTTTCCATGTTATGTCCCATGGATTAAGTCACTTAGGGTGGGGCAGTCCCTGGGGCCGATTCTGGTACTGTAGCATTATTATATTCATCTCTTCACATTCAGCAATAGCATATCTGGTTAAAGGGTGATATCTCAACAATATCCATGTCATGACTCAAAGACGAATCTATTAGTGGTAGGCCAGACCCTGGGGCCAATCCTGGTCATGTATCTCCATTTTAACATTCATGCACAGTAATTGTATACATGATTATTGGGTGGGGAGCTTAACTTTTCCAAATTGTAAACCAGAAACTAAGTCCCCAGGGGTGTGCCCAGACCCAAGGGTTGATTCTAACATCATGATTGTGTTTGTCTCTTCATGCCCAGTAATTGTACATATGTATATGGAGTGGAGATCTCAATCATTTCACATTATGACCCAGGAACTAAGTCTACAAGGGTTGGACCATATCCCATGGCCATCCTATAAGCAATGTATTTGCTTCCCCTTCTTTAACTTATCAATTCTATGAATAGTTATATCACTTATTTCCAAGTTATGACCAAGGAACAAAGTCCCTAGGGGTGTGGCCAGACCCAAATGTCAATTTTAATATCATGATTTTATTCCTCCTATTTCCAAAGGAGAAGTCGTTTTTCTGCCTTGCTCCTCCTCAGCCCCACCATTTGGTCAAATTTATATCACGTTTAACTTAGAGATGCTGCCAGTCAAATTGGTTTAGTTCCAATCAGTGGTTCAGACAAAATTGTTTAAAGCTTTTCTTTATTGATGAATGGACAGACAACCAAAGCCATGGTACAGCATAAACAGACCTAGGTCGTTAGGACCAGGTGAGCTAATACATAATTATTGACATTACAGACATATTGCATGCAAGGAAATTTTATACTTGATTTTCGCCTTTTTTGCCTCCGTAATGAGAGCAAATTTTAACATCGCAGAATATTTATGTAAATAACATTACACACAGTAATTAAATGTGAGGGGCTAAATCAAAACTGAGCAAATATTCATTTTACTGGCAAGTGGCGAAAGTTTACCCGTATACAGTATTGTTATTCCCTTTTCTTATTATTTTTCATGATTTTTATCAACTACAGACAAAATAATATTACACTGACACCAGTCAGTGACATAAATTACCAGATATGAGTCTGGTATAAAAATCTCAATAACAAGCCATGTTAAATATGTAAAAGTATGAGAGAATCATGTACCCTGTTACGCTCCATTGTAAAACATTTTATTTTTTCTACAACATATATGTTTCAACAACTCTTAATTTACTCAACTTATATGTTCAGTTCAACAAGAAAATTCATTATTATGAACTACACAAATTAAAATATGTCCCAAGTAAACAAAGCAACAGACATAAATTTACATTTTTTGAGGTCTAACAAAACAACTAACTAGATATATAAAGGATGATGATACCGCTTAACCCTCTCAGGGGGTGTACCCAAATTGTATTTATTTTTATGTGATTTATGAAGCATTGCAAAAAGAATCCTTGTCCATTTGCACTGTAATTTTTCTTATATATAGAGCTTACCCCTGAACACACATTTGAACTCTTCCAATTCAAATGTTGGAATAGTTTATACTTTGTTTTTATCTTTATTGTTTCTCATAAATGTCCTGCAAGGTAAAGTATATTTTTACAAATGGTTTTAAAGGCATAGAAAAAACAGTTTTCCAATACTTTCTAACAGTTTTTGGCAGTGGTAGGGGGATCCTTAAGGAATACCTCTTTCTTTTTTTTAATTCAATGATATGGTTCCTTATTATTTTTAAACAAAGGATTACTTCTGTACTATTTGTGTCTGATTTAATGGGCAAAATTGCATGATAAATACTTTTTTTAATCTAAGGATTACTAATCCTTACTACTTGTGTAAGAGTTGTCTCCCTTAAAAAATCTTCAAGTGCTGCTATCTATACCTCAAAAATAAGAATTAATGTCTGTCTTGTCAGGTACAATTGAAATGATGAAAACAATATTGGAAAAAAATATTGCCAATGTATCAAACTACATTTTTAAACATACCTAACATACTTCACAAAATCACTCGCTCTAACACAGTCTTTGATCTACAAAGTAACAGGATGGTAAATCTTGAACAGAGTCAAATCAACATCCAACTGAATTATAAAATTGCACCAGGAGTTGTTCTTTGACTGAGAGATAATGAAAGGAACATCTGAACAAGACTGAAAACAACTGATAAAATATGAAAAATAAGAACATACTGGGGTATTAACATTTATCAAAACAAGTAATAAAATATAAAAATAATTGGAATATTTTCATGTAAATAACAAGAGGCCCATGAGCTTTAGCTCAGGTGACCTAAAAATGTAAAATGTAAATAACCATGTTTGATTTAATATGAAATATCAAAATGACAGCAAAATGCAGAATTGGGTTAGTAATCAATCCATTAGAAATGGTGCTATGACTTGTTGCCAAGCATGACGTCATTGGAACATGACGTCAAATATTACGCTGATTCGCACACTTTCTTTTAGCAACAATGTTTGCTTTGTATCACTTTAAATAAATAATGTCATAAATGCAAGATGTAATGGTTAACCTGTTAAATACTATATTACATATACAATGTATTCTGTCATACTCATAAATTATATATGATATTCAACTCAAAACCATAACGTATCATTTCGATATTGAATTTATAACTCAAAGAAAATACAGGTAAAAGGGGTTCAGAATGTTTGCCTTGGAACCCTTAAAAAAATAAAATAAAATCAGTAAAACCGATAGATTATGCTCCCGGAAAAAGTCGGCGACACATCCTACAAATATCTACATTTCATAGAGCTATCAGAGAGTCAGAAGTGATGGCAAAGATAATGAATTTGACCTTTAACCTCATTGTGACCTTGACCTTGGGCGTACAGACTTAACTATGGTTTGCTACACACAGCCTTGCCTTCCTACATTTAACCCTAAAATTGCACCTAGCTATCTTCTGCGAGACAGAAATTACAGCTCAGAAAATCTTTACAGACAGACGGACAAAACAGTGAACATATGAATTGAAAATTGTATTTAGTATTCCAGTAAGAATATAAGGCCTTGAGCAACTGGACCCTGGATCATGATATGTGGTAAAATCGTAAGTACCATTCATTTTGATATCCTGAATTAATTTTAAATCACCAAAGGCTAAATAGTTAATTATACTTAGAATGTAAAAAGAAAAAGAAAAGATACTGTATATAGATGTCTCATGTAGGCATTCAATAAATTTCAATCTGAAAATAGATTAACTGTGATAACAGAATTGTGGCATTGCCCAACATGGACTGTGTATGTTTCATCTTATTTATGATAATCCAGACTCTTACTTTGTAATTCAAGGGAGATAATCTTTGTCCCAGTGCATAAAAAGTGCTTTACCTGACTTTCTTGACATACCATATATTCATATGCCAGTGATGTTCAATATCATAAAGAAAATAAAAATTAACAACAAGAATATGCTTAGTTTGAAAAAGTGATGATAATAATGATAATAACTTTATTCATTGAGGATTAAAAACCTGATTTAGCCAAAGGCTAATCTCCCTCAGGGTCCTCAAAAAAAAAAAAATATTCAGTGTTTCTCATTTTGACTGAGACGAGAGGTCGACTTTCTGAAACACGTTTGCCAACCCCTGGTCTCTAATGCTTGACTCCATTGCTGTCACTTCCTCTTCAAAAGTAAGAGATTCTGACGACAGAGTTCCAAACATTTTGTCCAGTTTTGTCAGATCTGGCTGAGTCTGATGGAATTTCACCTGTAATGGGTTGTGTCCCTTGGATTTCAATTCCCGGACCATTTGGCCTTCAGCGTGCTGATCTCTCAGGAAAGACACGAAAACTAAGCGCATTGGGTATACCTCATCATAGTATTTCTGGTACAGCTCTGCAAACCTTAAAAGTCAAACACAAAAAGATTTATTATGATAAGGATCCTTCTATATGTATACATATATACAGACTTTAGCATGAAGTTAGTTACCATGCAATCATCAGTTTTACATGCTCTCCCAGTATCCTTCCAGAAGTAACCTTATTTTCTGATGTAATTATACATAGTCTACTGTTTATTTTGTATTGATAAAAAATTTGGATTAATATTCAAGACAAATTTTTAAATAATAGTATTCAAGGTTAAAAAGCTCAAGGTATGTAATTAATGACCAAGACTGTCTTGATAGTTACCTGTGATTCTTATACCCGCTGTTCTCCTCTTCATCTGTAACCATAATGAATGTCTTGATAACTTCCTTCTTCTCGTAATACGGCCACAGACTAGCCGCTGGACTTGTCCCTCCACCGGCTTTGGTTTCTATAGCCAGTTCTAGGACCTGTGGAGATAATTATTATGTTTCTTGTTAGATATCCTGTAACTACTAGTAAATTTTTAGAATATGGTTATTTTAATTAACCTATTCTGAAACATGGTGCATTTTCATAAATTCTTTCCAAATATGGATATTTTTTTCACCCCTTGCCAAATACGACATGTTTTAATTATCCTATTACCAAATATGGCAAAAGCAATTTTAATTAACTCATACAAAATACAATGAATGGTGTATTTTATATGAGAGAGTAATGTTACAGTGAAAATGACACAATTTCTCAGTGTCCCCACTTATTTACATTGATACAAGTGATCAGCCCTTCCCCTGTATTAGTTCATCCAGTTAACATACATCCTCAAACTTTCACGGGTTATGCCCACTTACATTCTCTGCACCCCTGGAACATGTTGTGAAATGAAGGTACACTGTTTAGTTGGTATCAATAACAAACTGACCAATCGTTTAACTAATACCTGTCTTTTGAATACCATTAATTGTGATGCAATTCTTTGGTATATTTCCACATACACGATATTAATCATTTCACAACAAAACATCAATTAACCTGAAAGTTAGGCCTACTTTACTCAAGTTTATTTATCTGATTCTATCATATGATACGACTTTAACTTGCAACTTTTCGTAATGGTAAAATAGACAATGCAATCAGGAGTTATTAAACAAAATTTTAGCAGTTTATTGCTGTGAGCATATTTCAAAGCATTTCCGAAAATCCTCGAAATAAGGTCGCGACGAAGGACTTGTTTTACTGTATAGTGCGCACCCCTTTCTTGACAGTGTGCACTATACACGAATATTTACGGAAGAACTAATATATAGCATCCGAAGGTGGTACGTACAGAGCCTGTTCCAGGACATATTCCAGGGATGCAGAAAGGGTTACCCTGGACAGTTTAGCATAGTTAACATGATGTTACAGAAAAATAACTGGTCGGGTGGTACAGTGGATAGCGCACTTGCCTTTCACCAAGATGGCCGGGAGTCGATTCCCGACCAGACGCGAAAAGGTATGGGGTCACCTGCCCGCCCACGTGGATTTTCTCCGGGTACACCGGTTTCCTCCCACACTAAGATCCCCCCCCTACCCCCCTTGTGCTACCATCCAGGCCAACAAGAGTGATTAATATAAGTTGAAATAACTTGTTTCATAATTGTTGTAAAATAAATGAAGTTTATTTTTTATAGATAATTATCTTATAAGTCAATATGATAAAGATTTGGTCTTCCAGACTTATCAATAATACTCGGGAATGTTTCCTGTGAGAATATTGATATTCTTCTTGGAACTGTTGCACTATTCATAAGAACTACTTACAGAAATGTTTTTATATATATAGCATGGTGGTGTCGAGGTTGTGAGGGGAGGGGTTTTGTTCTGACCTTATTACATGTTCTACCTATCATTTTAGACCCAATCATCAATTTACTGGTACTTAAAAATGTAAAGTTATAAAAACCTCAAGCCCTAAACCTACATCAGCGTACCAATATAGTCATATAGGGAAAAGGCATCTCACAATATTCTTTGAGTGGGAGTGGTGAAAACGGATATGAAGTGATTTAACCTAGATAACTACCCCACAATGACTGATTTAACCTAGATTACAACTCCACAATGACTGATTTAACCTAGATTACTACCCCACAATGACTGAGTTAACCTAGATAACTACCCCACAATGACTGATTTAACCTAGATAACTACCCCACAATGACTGATTTAACCTAGATAACTACCCCACAATGACTGATTTAACCTAGATAACTACCCCACAATGACTGATTTAACCTAGATAACTACCCCACAATGACTGATTTAACCTAGATAACTACCCCACAATGACTGATTTANAAGATTACTACCCCAAAATGACTGATTTAACCTAGATTACTACCCCACAATGACTGATTTAACCTAGATTACTACCCCACAATGACTGATTTAACCTAGATTACTACCCCACAATGACTGATTTAACCTAGATTACTACCCCACAATGACTGATTTAACCTAGATTACTACCCCACAATGAGTGTTTTTGTACATACCTCCTCTATATTTGTAGGAACGGAGCTAGGGTAGCGAAAATCGTTATTGAAGAAGATGAGCTTTGCAGAGCAGATGGCGGCGAGGATACCCGATATGATGACACTGGTCCTGATGGCAATCTCCATGGAGCCCGAGGCATCTCCACTCACCACAATGGGAGCCTCAAGAGATAAACTAAACACAGAAATAATCTTGTCAAAAATTGTGTGTTCCTAACCATTACTTAACCATGAAACATGTCATCAACGCTACTAAATAAAAGATTTCCATTTAATATCATTTTCAAATTTATTTTGAATTATTCTAAACTGAACAAGTCTTAATCATAAGATAACTTTAAAGAGTATAACTAACTATCACCAATTAATAGCTAAAACCTGTCTTTATCTACCACCTATCTATAACTACATGTACTACTCATCTATAACTACCAACCTGTTTATAACTACCACCTGTCTATAACTACTACCTATCTTTAACTACTACCTATCTTTAACTACTACCTATATATAACTACTACCTATCTATAACTACCACCTGTCTATAACTAACACCTGTCTATAACTAACACCTGTCTGTAACTAACACCTGTCTGTAACTACCACCTGTCTATAACTACCACATGTCTATAGCTACTACCTATCTATAACTACTACCAATCTATAACTACTACCTATCTATAACTACTACCTGTCTATCTGTCTATAACTACTTCCTATATATAACTACTACCTATCTATAACTACTACCTGTCTATAACTACTACCTGTCTATAACTACCACCTGTCTATAACTACTTCCTGCCTATAATAACCACCTTTCTATAACTACTACCTATCTGTAACTACTTCCTATCTATAACTACTACCTGTCTATAACTACTACTTATCTATAACTACTCCCATTCAATAACTACCACCTGTCTATAACTACCACCTATCTATAACTACTACCTATCTATAACTATCACCTGTCTATAACTACTACCTATCTATAACTACCACCTGTCATTAACTACCACCTTTCTATAACTACAGCCTATCTATAACTACTACCTATCTATAACTACTACCTATCTATAACTATCACCTGTCTATAACTACTACCTATCTATAACTACCACCTGTCTATATCTACCACTTGTATAATTTCAGCTGTCTATACCTACCACCTGTCTATAACTACTACCTATCTATAACTACTACCTATCTATAACTACCACCTGTCTGTAACTACTACCTATTCATAACTACTACCTATCCATAACTACCACCTGTCTGTAACTACCACCTGTCTATAACTAACACTTGTCTATAACTAACACCTGACTATAGTTTCAACCAGTCTATAAATACCACCTGTCTATATCTACCACCTGTATAATTTCAGCTGTCTATACCTACCACCTGTCTATAACTACTACCTATCTATAACTGCCACTTGTCTATAACTACTACCTATCTATAACTACAACCTGTCTATAACTAACACCTGTTTATAACTACCACCTGTCTAAAACTAACACTTGTCTATAACTACCACCTGACTATAGTTTCAACCAGTCTATAAATACCACCCGTCTATATCTACCACTTATATAATTTCAGCTGTCTATAACTACTACCTGTCTATAACTACCACCTGTCTATACCTACCACCTCTCTATAACAGACACCTTTCTATAAAGACTATCCAGATGTTGAACCAAGCTTTAGTGAAGAACAGGACAATGAAACAGTACTTCTGTTACCATTGAGCTCCTACCTGATGAGATGTCAAGATGTCAAAAAAGTGTTTCTACAAATAATGTATACTGATTTCAAAACTTAGAACCAAGTTTCAGTCTTGGATATATAACAGACATATAAAGAAACACACACATTTTCAGTTTCTGATCCAATAAACCAGAAACTGATAAAAAAATACCTGATTTCTTTCAGTCGTTTGTTGCCATACACGGCGAGCTGTTGAATAAATGGGGCTTTGTTCTCATCCACACTGCGTTCCAATTTCTGCCCGTAGTACAGTTTGGATGGGATATTTTCACGGTACATCTTCAGCATCAGTAGACGGTCCATCAGCTTCCCCAACTGCAGTTTTACTTCCTCACCTGCCTTCATCCTGTCTGCAATTATTTTGTCGACATCTGAACAGTTCTGACCAATATCCTCATAATACCTGCAGAATAAACAAAGCTTTAAGGAATAAAAAAAGTTTCTTTGGGCTTTTTTTCAATAAAATGGAGATCTTTTCATCTTGTAAATATGATTTATTATACTAATTAAATTCACAGTGGTCTGTCCTATTTTGGAAATACATGGGTATCTTTCTGTATGAGAACTGGTAGAGGTAGCATATCCATTCCAATATTGTGTACACACGAAGAAATAATATTCATGTGCAGAATATTACAATGTGCTTAACCCTTTCACCCCTATGTAACTTAAGTAGACTCTTCCATGCACTGATATGGATGAGTCTATTATGATCTACAGTGGTGAAAGGGTTAATATTAGTACATGGCTGTACCACCAGTAACACCTACCAAAGAATGGTATCCAGTTTGGGCTCATAGGCAGCAATGCGAGCTTTGGACTCGGGTGTGAAGCCATCCTTGTGCTGCTTGGCAAGGCTGTACGGGATGGGGAACTCTTTGATTACCTCGTTGATGTTTTCAGTTGTCAGATGCTGGCATCGATAGGTCATAGATCCCTCCGGGGCGTCCTTACCGAAACAATAGGGCAGGAACCAGGTCAGGGCTGGGAAGTCCTGAAACAACCAAACAGAAATGTTAACTATAATGATACAGTTGATACGTACAGGTCATTTGTATGAAAACAAATACCCTCGGAACTAAATAGGCAATGCAATACAGATTTCTAATGCATGTATCTTGTACCAGTATTGGATTACAGAGTAACGCGCATAGGAACACATACACAGGTATGTGACACATCGACACCATTTTCACAACACAAAAAATCCCTTCCATATACAGTATATCTTTGTCCCTCTCTAAGTCTAAACTTTTGTGGGGTCCAAAATCATAATTCTACTTCAATTGATTTCATCTATATTTCATAAACTAATTAAATTAATTAACAAATACACTTATGTAACTGACATTCAACTGATTTGAAATACAAAAATTGAGTAAAAAAAATCAGCAAATTATAACTTTTACCTAAAAATGTTATATGTTTTGCAATTTAGAAAATTACCCATGAAAAACAAAAACCAGAACATTGTATATAAATTTTGTTGGGGGAGCATCTCCCCACTCTTCCCATTGATGGTGACCCGCCACACCCACCATTCAACATTTAGTTACTGTCTTAATTATGCTGTAATGATAAATGTGCCCTCATTATTACAGCAAAAATTTCCTGATATGCAGTATGTTTCAGTTAAGAAATTGGCACCTTTTTATTGCAAAATTTTAGTTTGTGATATGGGTTAGTAATTTTCAGTAAGACTTATGGCAATTCTAACTTGTAAATGTGTACCTTCTCTGGATTGAAGTGGCAGAGGTCAGCCAATTTCTGCCACGGCTGTTTGGGAAAATACAGTGAATAAAACTCCAGCTCCTCAGTTGTGAAGGTCTGCACCCATCGACGTATATGTTTACACACGGCTCCACTGGCTGTACCGAACTGTAGGTAAAAATAACATTTCATTTACCGGTTATTTTATTTTGGTGATTTTCGAATCGTTTCTGAAGAGCTGAACCTTATAAGGATCCCCGTTCTACTGCCCAAAACTATAACTATGCATCGAGAACTCTTTTTTCAGTATGAATCTATAGAAAGATTTGATAAAGCTTTTCTGAAGAATAAAAAAACATACCTTGTTGAAATTTAATGAGAGAAACCAAACAAAATTAACAACAGTGTTCTGAGAGTAACAATTTAGCAGGGCTAGACATAGGGATTCAAACCCTGGACCTCAGATTGTTTTAGTGTCTTTCTCACCAACTTAGCTAACTAGCCAATGTAAATTCCTTGGCTGAATAGCGTAACAGTTACAGCAAAAATGATATTTCTAATTGGGAGGTATTAGTGCGATGCATAAGGGATGCAGGCTTATAGCCATATCAAAACATCATTAAAGTTATAAATTATGTTAACTTTGAAGGATCAAAGAAGAGTATTTAAAATGAGACAGTGCATATATATTCAACAGTTACCTGAAAATTAAATTCACCAGAGTAAACTTACAGGCGGCTTTAAGGCATTTAAGTTGTCAATGTCTGACTTGAGTTTGCCCATTGTTTTAGGTGACACCTTGTTTGTAGATATCTGAAGAATGCGCAACTGTTTCTCCTTTGCTCGTATTTGTCGCCCTGAATCTATCAGCTGTAAGGCCTTCAGTACCTCAACCAGTCCAAAGTTATCGCGATCTTTTAGAAAAGCGTTTGATAAATCAAAATCTTTTCTAGCCCAAGCTGCTGCCAATGCTCGAATCCTTGCATCTGGAAAATTCACAATTATAATCAAAGTTGTTTTTTATAATTTTACTTTACCAACTAATTATTGGTGCAGAGTTGCTGTCATTTCGACACTTGTTTTAATGAGTCAGTGTTTTTAAATGATTAAGTTGATAGAGATGAAGGGATGATTTCTCAATCCTTTTAATTATTTCAATTCAAAAAACATATCCACCCAGGCACTGACTGCAGTGCTACCCATGCACTGATAGCAGTACACTTAAAGAGCGTTAGGGTAAGCTTAAGGCTTGTTAGCTTAATGTAGGTCATTGTACTTGGAGGGGATGGTTATTACCGTAGAGTTGTTTTTAAAAAAGTACATATAGGCCTTATTTTACCACGTTGGGGCTATACTGTTTATAGGTTCACTAAGCTTCATTCTTTTCTCTACAATGTAGGTTTTGTTCTGTCTTATATTACATATTACTGTTATTAATGTACATTGTTTTCCATCTTTTAACAGCTAGCTTAGCCGCATGTTATTAAATAAACATTAGTTAATATTGAAAAAAGGTGTTGAATGGTTTATGACTTGGATGGATAGGCTACTCCTTCACATCTGACGGACCTGTGTCTGTCAGTAGACGGACACAACAGATAATTCTTGGTGATTTCCACGGGTCAGTTTATCAGTAGTTTGGGGGAAAACCAAAATTACTATACGATCACATTCATCTATACCGACACAGGACAAGCTCTCCCCACGGATGTCCTATTACATACATTAACATATATCACTCACTAAAGATAAATATAAAAAATACCGATTATTGTACTTTGGTACCTACTCATTTGGTGGTGTTTTAACATACTTACTCTGTACGATCTCCACGCCATTCTTCTGCAGGACAGCCATGCCTGCTGCATACCTCTGCGTGTTCTGGTTTTGGGCAGCATAGTGTTGTGCTACCGACGCATTACCAACAAAGAATGCCTGCAAGTCTGTGTCAACGCTGAGTTCCTTCACCTCTACTTGACTGTCGGACGATGTCCCTTCTGTCGGGGCACTAGCTGAATGACTGCCCGACCTACCTCCTCGTCGGCCCCTGCCCCCACGGCCACGCCCACCTCTCCCTCGTCCCCTCATTATGTGGTGTATGTTATGTTTGCTGATATAAATATATTAAACGACTTCACGATTGTGACTGATATCGAAGATATTTACCACACGTGAACAAGAATACCGATGTTCGAAAACGTGCATGTGTTGATCATAGACAAATTGCAATAACGTACAGTACCAAATTATCGAAAATTGAAGCTATGCAATCACTTTCTGCTGTGGCCTAGCGTTAAAACTAGGTGTCTTGAGGAAATTGCAGGGTAGTGGTCTCCGTGTCAGACAAACGTTAATCCATGGGATTACTGGAGAGGGAACGGGCGTTATATCTACTTCTCTTGCACAACCAGCTAGCAACAAATAAACTTCCGGGAGCCTGACAACATAGTACCGGAAATTACAACGCTGCTGAAAGAAAAATATAGTTCTTTATTGTTCTTATATATTTTCTTTATTTAACGATAGGTTAGCATTGCATTTTGTTTATTATTAAACTTTTAAAATAAACCAATTGCAAATCATGGTCAGTTCTTGTTTAAACATGTGCAAACTATGTATGATTTGTTTTTGTATCACTACACATAGTACTCTTGCAAACACCTGCAAAATCTTGCATCAGGTTATTTTTCCTGACAAAGCGAATTTTCTATGTAAACGTCATCATATTCTACGTCTTACTTTAATTCAACCTCGGCGCTCGTTCTATTCAGAATCTTCCTATCTGATATGAGGGATCATAATGTTTAACCACGTAATGATTTAGATTTGCTAATTTGCAATAAAAACTCTTAAGCTAACCAGACTTGATCACTATAATTCCGTGATCCGGCCACTGCTTTTGCAATGACTTCGAAATGTTCAACAGATATAATTATAAAGGTACAACTTTTGTAAGGCATGCACCTTATGCATAATTAATATTTCACGTTTAATAAAATTTCTTGTATTTTTTGCATAAAGCATGAAAAGTATATATTTTTGTCATTTTTAACTAATACACGCGGTCATGCTATATATAATCACGGACTTAGATAACACCCTCTAATCTAATTCCGTGATATAATATTAGCTGTGGTGCGAATAGGTCAGGTACAATCAGTAAAAATTATTAGTCGTGTAACAAATTGTGGGTGGGCGAAAACTCCGCTGGGCACTCATTTAAGGGTGACCGGCGGTGCGACGTCTGATAAACCGTTGCCAATTATTAACTATAATTAAATTTCAAATCATTTCAGCTAGCCTATTATGATATTTGTTCAAATGAATTTAAGATCTTAATAGACTGCCTTTGATCCACATTCAAATAGAGGGAGTCACAGTTTAAAAAAGTCAAGTGTGTTTATTGTGTCAAAATCTTTAACTGAATTTTAGAATAAGCTTCTCACGAAAAACTAAAAGGCCATAAACCCATGGTCACATTCGAGGTCATAGAGGTCAAATGTGTTCAAATCAATTACCTTGACCCACTTTCAAGGTCACAAAGGGATCCAAGATTTTCAAATCTTTGACGACTTCTTATCTCAATAACCAGGAGGAACTGTGTGATTCTACCTTGTTGCTAGGCATGCTGGGTTAAAATGCTAGGCATGCTGGGTTAAAATGCTACCAAGCGTGTACGAAAAGTAAATGACAATGACCTTGATAGCTTCTGTCAAGGTCACATGGATCAAATCATGTATTTAAAAATCTTTGAAAAAAATCTTTTCAATAACCCAAAATCCTAAGTTGATGATATATTTGACCAGAGTAGCATGGCACGCTAAGAAATATGAACTTCAATCAATGCCACCTTGTCTGTTCAAACAAATGACGTATATATGTATGTACCGATACAGAAATTTGCAACAACTTGCATCAGCTAGGTAGAAAATTCAAGTTTATTCAAATGAATAATGGCCCTTATCCACTTTCAAACTGATTTTTCCTTAATAACCAAAAGGCATATGGTGGAGGGGATAAATTACCCTGACCAACTTTAAGGTCACACCAGGGTCAAAATGTTCAAATCTTTCAGCAACTTCTTCTCAAATATCAAGATGACCAGTCAGTGATTTAACAAGAGGCCCAATGGGCCTGCATCGCTCACCTGGTATTAATCTCACACTTGTAATCTTAAAAGTGAACTAAAATACAGCTACAGGCAAAATATCAGTGTTTCATTCAAAAGAACCTATTAAAAGATTTAAACATATGACACCTGTGACCTTGAATGTCGAACAAGGACATTATAATATTAGGTTGAACAGAGTTTATAGTCTTCCAACCCAGCATGCTTCTGGAAAAATATCATTACCCTGGACCTTTTGGTTATACAGAACAAATCATTTAAAAATTTAAACATATATTGACCATTGTGGCCTTGAATATGAGCGAAGGTCATTCACTTGGTAGTCCTTCATCCCAGCATGTTAATGGCCAAATATCATCACCCTTGGCCTTTTGCTTATTAAGAAGAAGTCATTCAATGGTTTTAAACATATTTGACCCCTGTGACCTTAAAATATAGATGTCAAGGTCATTCATTTGAACTTGGTAGTCCTTCATCCAAGCATGTTACTGGCATTATCCTAGGCCTCTTGGTTATTCAGAAGAAGTTGTTTAAAGGTTTAGAACATATTTGACCCTGTAACCTTGAAAAAAGATGAAGGTCATTCATTTGAACAAACTTTATAACCCTTCATCTCAGCATGCTACTAGCCAAATATCATCACCCTAGGCCTATTGGTTATTCAGAAGAAGTTGTTTAAATATTTAAAACATATTTGCCCTCTGTGACCTTGAATATAAGTCAAGGTCATTTATTTGAACAAACTTGGAAGCCCTTCATCCAAGCATGTTACTGACCAAATATCATCATCCTAGGCCTCTTGGTTATTCAGAAGAAGTTGTTTAAAGATTTTAATATATTTGACCCCTGTGACCTTGAAAAAAGATGAAGGTCATTCATTTGAACAAACTTTATAACCCTTCATCTCAGCATGCTTCTGGCAAAATTTCATCACCCTAGGCCTTTTGGTTACTGAGAAGAAGTTGTTTAAAGTAAAAAGTTGTGCAGTTAAGCATGCTGGGATGAAATGCTACCAGGTTTGTGAAAAACAACAAATGACCTTGATCCCCCTTCAAGTTCTTACAGGTCAAATGTATTAAAATCTTTAAACAACATCTTGTCAATTTCAAAAGTATTTTATTGACAATACATATATAATACGAACATATAAGTTAACATTAAAAAAGATATTAGAACAGTATTGACAAAAGAATAAGACAACAGGCTTTGCCTATATCAGTCTTCTTCTATTTCCGGTAGCTATGTACAATGCTTAAATATATAAAATGTTGTAAATTTTTTTCCTCTCACACACATGCACACCCACACCCACACCAGCTTATGTCTAATACTCGTTATTTAAGGGACAAAATTTGCCTGAATAATAATAATAATAATAACAATACAGGAATATTCATTTGGAATTTATCTAGCACATGTAAGTAACGAAACGTTTTGATGATTTAATATAAGAGTCAACATGTATAAGAATAGTGTTATTTAATTGGTCCGATGCATTACTAATACCATATACTAAACAGTGCAGATTTAAATATCCTAATAGATTATAAATAGTGGTAATATGATGCCTAATATTTGAATACAGAGGACATTGAAAGAAAAAATGTATTAGATCTTCCCTCTGTACACCACATACACAGGAAGCATCATCAATCAGATGGTCTTGTAACTTATCAAAGTTAAGATCACTTTTAAAATTTCTTAGCTGACATAAAATGATGTTAAATTTCCTCGGAACACAGTTAATAAAAGTTTCTGAAACAGATGTATCAAAGTTTTTTTTAAGTTTCTTTTTAAAAGATGAAATTGAGATGAAGTCTCGTACAGTGCTATCAAGTGCATTCCATTTTACCATTGTAGAAGGGAAGAAGCTATTCATATAAGTAGTAGTTCTTGTCTGTGGTATATTAAAGAATCTGTTATTTCTGAAGGTATAGTTATTATCTACATTTAGAAATGGTTGAATGATATTATTGAGATAAGTTGGAGTGTAATTATTAAGAATCTTATACATTAATGTTAGTTTATGATTTTGTCTTCGTGTGTGTAATGTTTCAAGTTGTGTTTCAGTATACTGAATGTGATGAGATGTACCTCGTCTGAGGCCAGCAATTAAACGCATAGCTTCTAGTTGAACTGATTCTAAAAGATCTGATTCAGATTTGGTACAATAATCCCATACTATATCAGAATATTCGAGCACAGGTCTTATATAAGAGACATATAATGTTTTTAATGTATTCCTATCAACTGTAGTTTTTAAAATTCTAAGAATACTTAGTCTAGAGTTCGCTTTTTTATAAATATTTGAAATGTGATCTGACCATGTCCCTTGACTGTTAAATGCTAGTCCTAAGTGAGTATGGTGTTCATGTTGTGCAATCGGAGTATTGTTAAATAGCAGTTGATGATGATTGTTAATGTGTCTACGAGAGAAGTTAATAGCTACAATCTTATTTGGATTGAATAGGACCTGCCATTGCTTTGACCATTCAGAGATTGAGTCAAGATCATCATTAAGCATGTTAGTATGTGTTGTAAGGTCATTGTTATTATTTACTATTACATAGAGAGAGGTATCATCTGCAAATAGTTTTATATGAGAAGTTACATTGTTAGTAATATCATTAATAAAAAGAAGAAAGAGGAAGGGACCAAGGACAGATCCTTGAGGAACCCCTGAAGAAATAGGTTTGGTACTAGATTTATAACCTTCAAAGATAACCCTTTGTTTTCTGTCAGATAGTTTTTAGTTTATATAATAGGCCCAAATGCCATACTCGATCAAATGCTTTACTTATGTCACAGAAAACAAAACGCAAATCTTTACCTTGGTCTAAATTACTACTTATAGTATTAAAGATAAACTACCATCAGGACCAGCTGGTTTGTTTTTATTAAAAATGTCCAATTGGTCAGTTATATCTTCTTCAGTTATGTTAATGTTAGAAAGTTCAAATGGACATAAGGGAGGTAAATCAGGTAAGTTAGTGTCAGTAATATCAGAGGCAATGGTGGTAAAGTAGTTATTTAGTGCTTCAGCTTTATCTTATGGATGGATTAATATTTTATTGTTAGATTTTAGAGGATAAGAATTAGTGCTAGTGTTATTCATTTTTCCTATAGATTTTGCTATCTGCCACCATTTTCTTGGATGCACTGTTTTGTCAGCAAGACAATTTTGAAGTTTCTTAAAGTAATTTTCTCTGGATTGCCGAATAATTTGTATAGTGTCATTGCGACAAGTTCTAAATTTTGCCCAATCTTGTTCCCTATTTTTACTTTTACTAATATCTT